ATTAATATTTATTTACTATTTTGAGGAGATCTTTTGGTGGTAAATACTATTTGTGCAATAATGGTCCATTAATGACTTCAAATATTGTTTTTCTAATATGTCTATTACAATTAGTGTAGTATTTAAGGTTAAAATAGAGAAAAGGGTTTTAAATTCCAATGCAAAGAGGCAAATTAGAGTAATTTTAGTGGTCAGAAAAAAAAATCATTTTAATTTGTAATGCCATGGTTTACCCACTAGGTACATGGCTCTTTACTAAATATATCTAGAATTTTGCAGGTCATACCTGCTTAATTTTTGTAAGTTCTTCATTTGAATAAATATTTAGACATGATTAAACACTAGATTTTTAAATGAGAAATTTAAAAAGGTAATAAAAGGCCTACATCCTTTTTTAATAATACTCGCATAATTACACACAATGGGCCTCATTCATGAAACACGAACAGAACGAATTTTTGTGTAAATCGTTCGTAAAGGCTCAGCTAGAAAAACGCTGTGCCACCAAAGCGTCCAGCACCACCAGCTGGCCGTTTTAAGAAGAGCGCCTGACAGTTTTTCAGCTGGCTAAAAACGCTTTTGTGGACACACGTTATTGAATATTTATTGTTAGGCATATGGCCTATTAGTGTTTTTAGCATTTATGCAATATACTGGAGCCAAACCTGAGAAAGTAGACCAGAATATTCCACTGCGTTCCTGGACACACAATTTGTGTAGCTGTAATTCATAGGCGGGGATTATGCTAATTGTGAATGAGCGTGCACGAGCGCCCTATTTACGAATGACTGGAATTCATTAACATACACATGTTTAACTATCAAATCTGATGTGTACGAAGTGTTTGTGAATTCGGAAGGGAGTTTGCGGGAAGGTCCGTTTTACGCGCAAATTACTCAGAATGGCCCAATGAATGCAAGCAAATACAGAATTTAAACCAAGTTTAAAATGGTGCTAAAAAAAGGCATTCAACAAAAGATTTTTATGCCCTTTATTTTGACAGTATATACACATGAATTGATATTGAATCGAGTTTGAATTTTTTTATTTAGTAATTTTATATTTTATTCGTCAAGCAATGGCAAATTGATGACACTGAATTTTGATGCACTGCCATCATAATATTTTACAAGGTCGTTTGCCCTCGTTGTTTTTGATTTTTTTTGTTGGTAGCTGGGAGTTGATAAACTGCTTGTCACTTTCACTTTTTACCCAGCCGTCCAATCAATGGAGGAGGGGCGGGACAAATACTACACCGACCAATCATCCTTCCCAACTAGGACACAGCACAATGTGTTCAGCAGGTGAGTCATGCTGGCTACTGCTGCTTGTTATTGCTAACTTCCTCTACCACATGGCTTTACTTAAGGAAACTTAAAACACCCTAGCACCCCTAGTGGTAAGGAAGAAAACTGCCCACAAAATTCTTATTAACAGGCTCATGTCTGGCCCACACTGGGCCATCATGGGATTAATGTGGGCAGTCCCATAGCGTAGGCTGCTCACAGAGAGACTGCGGTGAGCCCAAAGCTGTGGGCCTCCCCTGGGCAAGCCCGCACAGGGCCTGTTTAGGTTTGGTGTGGGCTGGCCCTAGCCCACTGTGCCCGCAAAAAGCCAGCATGGGCCCCGCAAGGAACACCCTAGCACCCCTAGTGGTAAGGAAGAACATTGACCACAAAATTCTTATTAACAGGCGCATGTCTGTTACACCTCAAATATGGCTCATGAGATCCACTTTCCTGCAGAGTTTAACTCCAACTTTGATCAAACTCACCCAACTATGATTTTCTAATGATCCTGAAGACATACTCAGGTGTGTTTGATTAAGGTTAGAGCTAAACTCTGCAGGAAAGTGGATCTCGTGAGTGTCACAATTCACTCGGGGAGCAAGGAACGAGGAAACGAGGAGTTCTTGAATAACACAGTCTTTAATAAGCCACAGTAGCGACAGGAAACAAGGGAGACATCCAACAAGTAGACCCGACAAACAAGAACTGAAAGGACTAGGGCTTTTAAACACAGGATAATTGGGGAGGAACGAGACACAACTGGAATCAAATTAACACAATCAACATGAGGAAGAAACTGGGTCACAGGGGCAAAAACACACAGATTAGTCCATAATCCTGACAGTGAGGCAGATTTGAGGATCACTGGCCTATATGAAACAACAGGTTCTGAAAAGGTCTCTTTTGGTTTGTGCCATTCCAGTTCAATTGAGTGGCTAAAGAATGGCCAGTCAATGTTTTTTGTATTCTCCTATAGGAGAATTACATTAGTTGCATTACAGGGCTGCATATAAAAGATCACCTGTCATCGTCCAAATTCTTTAATTTAGAACAGCGAGCTGCAAGAACAGCTTACAGTTCCAAAAACCTGCAGTACTCCAACAAGAAAACGTGTGTACGTCTGCTCAGACCTTGACGGGACGCTAAGAACTTTTCCACGTCAAAGGCAGTTTTTACAAATATGAGCATTGGCGTGGATTTAAACATACACACGCACACACTAAGATCAAATCTGTGCGTACGCACACTTTATAAATGAGGCTCTATAAGTCTGTCCCTCACAGTCTTATTTTCAAGCATGTTAAATTCAATATGGCATCTAACCTGATTAAGGTCTATTAGCAATGTATGATTCACAGCTTATAAAGTAGTCAACCTTGCAGTTTTTCTGTTGGTGAATTTGCGTGACCATTGCAAAATCTGTGTGGGGAAATCTTTCCCTCACGTGAAATTCCCAATTGTGTGAATACCTATTAAAATAACTAGAATCCAACTGAAAAATTGCAGAACAACCGCAAGTGTAACTGCACCTTTTCACCTAAAAATGAAAATTCATAATCATACTCACCCTCAAGTTGTTCCAAACCTGTATGAGTTTATTTCTTCTGTTAACCCTGACGTGACACTAAGCACTTTTCCACGTCAGGCAGTTTTTACAAATATGAGCGTTGGCGTGGATTTAAGCATACGGACACTCTAAGATCAAATCTGTGCATACGCATTTTTATAAATGAGGCCCCTTAAAACTAAATTCCGTGACACAAAACCGTACTATTTTTAAAATTATAGTGGATTTGGGCATCCGCTATGACACTCACTGTAAGAAATACGACAACTTCGGCAAGAGCAATGATAGTGAAACGGCTGTTGGAATATCACTCTTAACAGCCAATCAGATTCGAGGACCAGAAAGAACTGTTTTGTGTGTGTGTGTGTGTGTGTGTGTGTATATATATATATATATACACTCACCGGCCACTTTATTAGGTACACCTGTTCAATTGCTTGGTAACACAAATTGCTAATCAGCCAATCACATGGCAGCAACTCAGTGCATTTAGGCATCTAGATGTGGTGAAGACGACTTGCTGAAGTTCAAACCGAGCATCAGAATGGGGAAGAAAGGGGATTTAAGTGACTTTGAACGTGGAATGGTTGTTGGTGCCAGACGGGCTGGTTTGAGTATTTCAAAAACTGCTGATCTACTGGGATTTTCACGCACAACCATGTCTAGGGTTTACAGAGAATGGTCCGAAAAAGAGAAAATATCCAGTGAGCGGCAGTTGTGTGGACGAAAATGCCTTGTTGATGTCAGAGGTCAGAGGAGAATGGGCAGACTGGTTAGAGATGATAGAAAGGCAACAGTAACTCAAATAACCACTCGTTACAACCAAGGTATGCAGAATACCATCTCTGAACGCACAACACGTCGAACCCTGAAGCAGATGGGCTACAGCAGCAGAAGACCACACCGGGTGCCGCTCCTGTCAGCTAAGAACAGGAAACGGAGGCTACAATTCGCACAGGCTCACCAAAATTGGACAATAGAAGATTGGAAAAACGTTGCCTGGTCTGATGAGTCTGGATTTCTGCTACGACATTCAGATGGTAGGGTCAGAATTTGTCGTAAAGAACATGAAAGCATGGATCCATCCTGCCTTGTCTCAACGGTTCAGGCTGGTGGTGGGGGTGTAATGGTGTGGGGGATATTTTCTTGGCACACTTTGGGCCCCTTAATACCAATTGAGCATCGTTTAAACGCCACAGCCTACCTGAGTATTGTTGCTGACCATGTCCATCCCTTTATGACTACAGTGTACCCATCTTCTGATGGCTACTTCCAGCAGGATAATGCACCATTTCTCAAAGCTCAAATCATCTCGGACAGGTTTCTTGAACATGACAATGAGTTCACTTTACTCAAATGGCCTCCGCAGTCACCAGATCTCAATCCAATAGAGCACCTTTGGGATGTGGTGGAACGGGAGATTCGCATCATGGATGTGCAGCCGACAAATCTGCAGCAACTGCGTGATGCTATCATGTCAATATGGACCAAAATCTCTGAGGAATGTTTCCAACACCTTGTTGAATCTATGCCACGAAGAATTAAGGCAGTTGAATGCAAAAGGGGGTCCAACCCGGTACTAGCAGTGTGTGCGCGTGCAAAATAAATCCTTTCTGCTCAATTTGTGCATATTTTTGTGCTGTTGAGTTTCTATCTGGCTTGATTTAGGTTTATTACTGAAATTTAGATGACCCTTTGTCTATATCAAAACATTTTTAAACATTCAAATATGCAATGATCAATACATTTTGGTTCAACGAATTAGCAGCACTGATCAAGTTTGTCTTTTTTTTAATTTTTTTTTGTAGAAAGGAAATTTTACAGTGAATTGGTTATAGGAGCCGCTCTCTTTTGCAGCCGCACATTTACAAAATTGGATTTCGTTAACTATCAATGTCATATGTCTTAATGACTGAGACTTATTTGATGAAAGGACAATGCATTTTACAAATCAAATTCACATATCAGCGACGGAAAGATGAGGGAATGAACGTGCGGTATGTGTTTATAGTGTGTCAATGTGAGAATATGTGACTCGAGATCCATTTCCTCATGCTCCTGTTAAAAAAAATACAACAAAAAAACACTGCAATTCATTTTATGATGAAGACAGCAACTTTTTTTTTTTTTATTGTGTGTGGTTATTTTTCCACAGTATTATAAAATGAAAACATTCATAGTGACTTTCTGACTCGTATGTCATACAGTAACAGCATCATGCATACCTCATATTAAACAAATCCAATCAGAGTAAACGATTAGCACATTACTGTACATTAACGTATACAATAAGCACCAAATATAGGGATTCAAATTAAACCTAAAATGTAAATCTGGATACAGTTTGAGAATTTTGAAAACAAACATGAAAGCATGACATAAATGAAGAAATATTTTAGATGCTGCATTTCAGTTACATTAAAATAGGCAAAATCAGCCGACATAGCCTACACATGTTGACATTGTACAGATGGTCAGATGTTCTTGCTTCCACTGAAGCACAAGATGCTACTTGGTTCATTCTCAGTTTATGCTAAAGAACATGATCATAAGGTTTGACACAAACTTGTGGGATTCATACCAGAAATATCATTTGTAAATCTTGTACTAAATTCATAAAATAAGCACCTGGATCTTTCTTATATACATGTAAAGGAGCTGTAGCTGCCGTTTATGTCTCAAACTGACTGAAGTTCCTCTCTAATGTTGTCTCAGCATTACTGTGGACTATTGGGTCCAGAAACCAGATCATCTACTAGATGAGGTTATTTCTCCATCAGCAATCTGTAGAATTCTGCTTTTACAGAATCTCCTCCAGAGTCAAGAGCTTTCCACAAAACTCTAATTTTGTTTTGGCATGGTTCTGTAACATGAACTTTATTGTACATTTCAGTTGTAATCATGCCTTTGGCACACAGACCATCAGCAATCTCCATCACTGATGTAACTTTCTGAATGAGGTGACGTCTGTGTTTGTTCACAAATTCAGATCCTGATTAAAAGAAACAAAACGATTAAACTTTTCAGAAAGTTTTGTGTGTAACAGAAAGAATGAGCAACTACTGCAATTGAGTTCGTACCCGTGAGCCGTGTGTGAACTGGGAGTTCTACATCTTGGCCTGATGTTACTAACAAAACAGAAAAATCATTCATAAAAACCTAATTCAATCAAAATCTTATCAAAGTACTTAGAATGATAAAGACTTCATAGATCACAATATTCTATTTAGTTTAAGCCAAAATGTTAAAATCATCTTGAAACACTTGGGGAAAAACACTAATCAACTGTATGTCAAATAAAAGCTAAAAACTCGGGAATTAAAAGAGAACTTTAATTCTTATTAATATTACTGAATATATTTTTCACCTTTATATGGCACTAATTCATTTAGCTGTAAGGAATAGTGTGTCTGAAGCAAAAGCTTACATATAATCATGTGATATGGGTTAAATCTGTTTTTAATCACGTCTATTTTAAAGCTTCCATTATTTATATGCTTTTTATTTAATAACTGTTGTTATAATTACGCAACTTCATATCCATGATAAATTCTAGCATTGCTAGCAACAATTATTTGTGTCATTCATTACCTGTGAGGACTCGTCGTGTAACCCACACTTCCCTTCCTTCAGTGTTATCCATTAGACTCAGCTTGACCTCCTTATTTCTGACATTCACAAACACTTCAAATGTGGGATGATAGTTTGGACCAAAATTAAAATCAAACTCCTCAGTCTGAAAAAAGAACAAGAATATGAAGGCGATTCTATGAGGGCAGAAAAAAAGGCCTGATAAATCAGCGTTAAACTTTGTGCTAAAACAACTTGAAAAAGAGAAGATCTTTCTATACTTCAGTGACATTGTTAGAGACATTAAATGGATAGTTCACCCAAAAATTTAAATATAGTAATTATTTACTCGCCCTGATGTTGATTTTTATTTTATTTTTTACTGGACCATGAAATCAGAAATTCATTTTCTCCTTAATTTTAATTTTTGGGGAAACTAACACTTTAAATATAACAGAATATATTGTTGAGATTTTTGCAACTAAAAATAATGAATAATGTTTAAATTAAATATGATGTTACCGCTGGCTGCACTGTAGATCTCTTTGGTTGACAACACAGACGGTATTGTGTTCCCGGGATGAGAAAACACTTTGAACTGGTGTTAATATATGTATTCTCCGCATGCTGGTCCTTGACCTTAAGAAGAGGTTGGGGTTAGGAAGAGGCTGTGTAGGCCAGCCAGAGCCTAGGTAACAAAAATGGTCCCTTCCAACAGAGCTCCTCAAATAATTACTAAACAGCCTTTGTTTTTAACACAATTAAAAAAATTAACTTTTAGGCAGGGGTGTTTCCTCCAAGGAGTCAAGGGAGGCGGTACCTCCACAAAAACTCGAATGAGAAAAAAATTAATAGTACAAAAAACAACAACACCAATATTACAAAATACAACATTACAAAGTGTATAAATTAGTGATGTTACATATGACACTGAAACTTCAAAGCGCGTATCGAGTAAGCAGCGCAATTCCTCACGAAGCTCTGTGCCGGAGCACGTATTGTTTTCAGAGAATCACGTGATCAATGAAAAACGAAGCCTCACTTTCTGTCCAATCAAGTGCGAGTGTCGGAATGTTCGAACCCCCAGGTAAAGTTATACAGCGGGAGTCTGCGTCTCTCTCGCCTCTCCTGAGCCCAGTGAGTTTTAACAGACCCCCTAAGGTGTGCCGCGAGTTTGCTGGGGGGAAATTGAGAATGAATGGGGATGTTTGATGGGAAAAAAAGTGTCAAATGGTGATGAAAAAATATGATTTGAAGTGAAGAAGGTTGAATTTTTTACCTTCACAGCCTGAAAAGTCAATTCAGGAAATAGTATAGCCTGCAATATGAGGATGTGATATGCTAGAGCCTTGATGTAAACAGGTTGTATACTGTATTCATCCAATCAATGACATTAACACCACAAATATGCAAATAAGAATGTGAACCCAGGGTTTAGGAATGTACGATGTTAACCCCAGGTAAATTATGAACATTGTGCTCCTATGATATGGATCAGAGTGCATGTTAATACAAACCCACCCAAATGTCAAGACCAATTTTAATTTTATATTATCATTTAAACAAAAAATATTGATACCTCTGACAGTGGAACATTCCATGGAAGCAAATGGACATCCAGTATGTTTTCTTCCTGTCTCACAGTTATTGGTCGCAGAAAGACAAGTACTTGGGCAACGACAGGGGAAGGAGGAAAGATCATCCTTTTTATGAGCCCAAAGATGGAGAGATCTTTGATGTCAATCATCACATAAGCTTCAGTCACTTTAAGCGGATCTATTATTGGTATATTACCACCAGTGTAATGTGCTACAGCTAAACAATCCATGTCTTCCTCTGTAAAACACATAAAAATTGTAGATAATTATATTTTATTAATATATGCAGATGGTTTTCCAACAAAGCTGATTATTTAAACCCTCACACTGAGAATTGTATGCATCCATCACATTTAGAATGTAGAAATTACCATACCTGAGAATATTTCACAGTGTGGAAGGTGCAGTCCTGAGATTGAACCATTAAAACAGTTAATGTTGTACAAGGGTCCTGCAGGCTGCATAACACAGCCCAAACGTTCTAACAGGTGAGAATCCCATGAGACAGTGTTATAAAGCACCTCTCCTTCACCCTCCATCACAAACACGAGGTTGGTCAGACTGCAACGAAACTGACCAGCATATGGACACACAAACCTGGAGGACAGAGCATTTTCATTTTATTAAATAATAATGGCCTGCATCTTTTATTATGTGACAATACAGGGTGTGGGTCATTTTTTTAGTAAAATAAACCCAACTAAATCAGCAACAGCAACTTCCCAGAAAAAGGAAAGAAGATGACTGAGGTTAACACACCAAAAAATAAAAAAAAGGGTTCAATACCTGTATACATTTTTCTGTTTGGCTTTGTCATTTCCCTTATGTATTTCAGGTTTGAACACTTCTGCAATTTCTAAGGACTAAGGTAAAGGAAAAAAACACTTGGCACCTAAAGTTTTCAAAGAGGGTCCAAAATGATCACACACTAAAGTATATATTAAGAGTAAATACAATACAATACAATACCAAAAAAAAAAAAAAAAGTTTAGCATCTAGGATAGCTAAAGTTTTCTCCATGACATAATTGTGATGTCAGCTTTCTAAGATCACATAAAAGACAAATAGCATTTTATTGGTTATGAATAAAGTCATCTTTGATTAGTCAATAACACTCAGCAGCTGTAAAAATTGTTTTTTTTTTATCTTGTAAGTGCTGCTAACAGTCTACATGACAAAGCCGCAGGATTCTCGTGAAACAAGCTTGGCTTGCCTGCCGCTTATCTCCCACTTCAAAATGAATTGAGCTTGTGGTTGTCGCATATACTGTGTACATGTAGTACAGCCAGATGGGGGAGGGTTCACTAATCAGATGAAAGGGGAGTTTCATGGCCGCCCACACATGCTTGTTTATGACTTTTTACACCTTTAATAAAAATGTTCAAAATGCACAAATTAATATTGAAAAATTAAGATTTTATAAGTTTTCTTTGGCCAAATTAGAAGTAATTCTTCTCCCTGCACGTTCAGTTGAATATAACTATAGCAATGCAGAGACCTAATACATTACTTTAAAATAGGCATGGCAGAATCCTGGGAAGTTTATCGTCATGAAATTATATATTGGGTTATAATTTTGTGTGCTGTCTGGGTCACAGTATCAGAAAGGACCATGCATGGTTGCTCAAAACACGTACAGTACATTGTGTCAGAGCGCTACGCACGAGGCTTTAATACAATATGGGTTAAATATATAAATAGCATATATAAATATATAAAATTATCATTTCTTCTACTTCTCCAGATACAAGCAGGCCTGGTTCCAGAATCAAGCCTTAATGTACATCTATTTTGACATATTTTTGCCCTGTCCATTGTTATGGTTATCACTATCATTGCAATGATATTGACATCCGCATATAAATGCCACATTGATATGCGGATGTCACTCCCGAAACTTTGCAACATGCAAGTGGTGACAGGTTCTCTAAGCATCATGAAAAACAAAACTTATTCAAATTCCGAATGAACTGTAGCCAAGAAATCATGCAAAGAGCGCTCCCCTTGTTACTAAAAAGCGTCACTCATTTCAGTTGATCAAAGTCTCACAAAGTTCTGTTATAATCAGTGAAGCTGTACACTGCACAATGAATCTCTAATTTACATCATGTTACACTTTGTTATAATGAGAGACTCCTGAGCATGCAGCATTGAACACAACTGTGGTGTTTTGAGTGGTAAGTGAAAACACCACTTTTACAGTTTTTAGTGATATATGAATTTTGAATAATGAAAAGTAGTTTTTGTCTGCTTATCCTATTCATCAGTGTTTGAATCATTTAAGAAGAAACTGCATTTTCTGTATTTCGTTTCTGGGTTAAAAAAAATGAAAAATGAATGGACGCAAAAGTACAGAGACCCTTCTGTATCTCTATCATTGCACATCCGCATATAAATGCCGCATTCATATGTGAATGTCACTCCCGAAACTTTGCAGTGTGTAAGCAGTCCTCTTAGCATCATGAAAAACAAAACTTATTCAAATTCCGAATGAACTGTAGCCAAGAAATCATGCAAAGAGCGCTCCCCTTGTTACTAAAAAGCGTCACTCATTTCAGTTGATCAAAGTCTCACAAAGTTCTGTTATAATCAGTGAAGCTGTACACTGCACAATGAATCTCTAATTTACATCATGTTACACTTTGTTATAATGAGAGACTCCTGAGCATGCAGCATTGAACACAACTGTGGTGTTTTGAGTGGTAAGTGAAAACACCACTTTTACAGTTTTTAGTGATATATGAATTTTGAATAATGAAAAGTAGTTTTTGTCTGCTTATCCTATTCATCAGTGTTTGAATCATTTAAGAAGAAACTGCATTTTCTGTATTTCGTTTCTGGGTTAAAAAAAATGAAAAATGAATGGACGCAAAAGTACAGAGACCCTCACTGCACTGGAAAGATAGTATTACAAAAAAAAAAAAAAGATGTACAGTGTTAAACAGCAGCTAAGTCATGTATTGCATCAATCCATTGTCCTATAATGCAGGACTTCAAATTTCAAAATTGTAAACATCTTATATACACAGTAATGAGATCTAATGAATATTTAAAGATACTCAGATCTCAATTGTATCTTTGAAAGACTTGTAAAAGAGAGCTGTCATTGGATACTGGAGATTTTCCGTAACTCTTCCTCAAAAATTTGCTTCAGCCTGACACCCATTCGGCCAAACCCATTGTCCTTTAGAGAGCAAAATACAAAAAAAAATCTGTCAAAAATCAAATGTCCTCTTGTAAAGTTAATCATCTCAACAATAATCATCAATAATGTCCAAGATATGTGTTCACATATAAGATTGCAAAACAACTTAATTTTAACAAGCTATTGATCTGTTATTTGGTGATTTACACTGAACAAAATTATAAATGCAACACTTTTGTTTTTGCCCCCATTTTTCATGAGCTGAACTCAAAGATCTAAGACTTTTTCTATGTTCACAAAAGGCCTATTTCTCTCAAATATTGTTCACAAATCTGTCTAAATCTGTGTTAGTGAGCAATTTTTACTAGTTAAAATGTTAATTCTTGATATCAGGAATTGAATTTCTACTAGTAACAACTGCTATTTTTGATATCAACAATTCAATTTTCACTAGTAAATATAGTAATTCTTGATATCAACAATTCAATTTTCACTAATTAAAATGCTAATTATTCTTACTAGTAAAAACCTTTGTTTTTGATATCAGTAATCACATGGTTACTAGTACAGACATCTATTCTTGATATCAACAATTTAATTATTGATACCAACTATTTAATTGCCACTAGTGACAATGTTAATTTCTGATATCATGAATGTGATTGTTACTAGTAAGAAAGCCATTTTAGATATCAGAAATTATATTGATATCACAAATATATTTTTAGATATCAAAAATAACAAATCTAACATGTTGAAATTCATTTACAGATATCAAGAATTAACATTTCAACTAGTAACAACTGAATTCTTGATATCAAGAATTCACATTTTTACTAGTAACAAAGTAATTATTGATATCAACAAAGGCAGTTGATATCTGAAATTTCCCTTGCAACTAGTGAAAATTTAATTACTGATATCTTAAATAACATTTTAACTAGTAAAAATACTTTTACAGATATGTAGAAATGCCATTTTTACAGGTAAGAATAGCTATGGTAATGAGATCATGAATATTAATGAGATCTGGTTTTCCCACAATCCTCGTTTTAGCGTCAGCATTGGCCAAAGATGGCAGAAGAACATTCAATGGGCAGAACCTTTTGCACTTTTCCACTTTTCCCCACAAACGGCTCCACCTTTATTTATTTGTTTTGTCAATGAAACATAAAAATTATATTATGGCTGGATTATTTTTTTGTTTGTTTTTTGTTAATTGTTTAAAAAAAAGTAATTTTATGCTGTTTCTTTTTATTGGCCACCAAGTCCTTTGGATAATTAAAGGAAAAATGAACAAGGCATTAATTTAGCTTCAACATAAAAAATAACTTCATGTTGTTTTTTCATGTGTTTATTTTTGGTTTTATTACACTTTCTTCTAATACATCAAATAAAAAATACAACCAAAAGGAAAAATATAACAGATAATAATGCGTCATACAAACGCTTTACTGGACTTTTTTTTTTTTTTTTTTAGCAAAGTGTCATTTCTTCACTGTTGTCACATGAAAAGATATAATAAAATATTTACAAAAATGTGAGGGGTGTACTCACTTCTGTGAGATACTGTATATTTAATCATGTCTGGAAACTTGACAAGTGTGTTTTATTGGGGTAAATGATCTACAAGCATTTCACATATTTCTATGCACACTAATAATACAAAACTACTGTCGCTACACTACGGTTATACACATTTATTGCATTTATTTTCAATAAAACTGAAAAAGGCTTAGAAGATGCCTTATCCTGTCGCTCCCTCGAGTGGATAAAATTAATATCACAGCCTTCATCTTCCAGTTGAAATGGCTGATAGTTTAGAATTTGATTTTGGCAGGGGCTATTTGAATACAATGAATTCTATTTACACTAAGTGAAAATAGCATATTTTCTTAGCAATAGATTCTATTTACACTATTTAATAATAATAATAATAGGAGTATTTTCTTGCAGTAATTGTAGTTTGATGCTGTTTGTACTACTTAGTGCAAATAGTGGCCAATATCTGCACCTCATTATTGTAGTAGGCTACATTATAAAACAGTATAGGCTACAATAATAACGTATTGAGTGTAAATTATAATTTTTATTTAAAAATTATTAAATGGATGCCGCCCCTACAACTAGCCCTAACCTTACCCAATATCCACACGTTATTTTCCACTTTTCGATAATTTCCTTCATTTTTATAGGAAATATATGCCTTTCCGATGTGATACGGGATGTGAAAAGGGAGAAGAACGAGTTCGGCAGAAGGCGGAATCGAACTCGAGTCCGTCGCGTCAAAAAACATCTGCTTTGTGCTCTACTATCTGCGGCACTGAAGCTGTCAGTTCTCAGAAGTCTTTTTGCAGTGTTGTGTAACACTACCACACGTTGGTAGGCGGAGATAATGTAAGTAGCCTCTGCCAAAATGAAAACAAAATAATGATTAAAAATAGCCTACAGGAGCGTTTTATTTTCATGAGAGGGCAATCGAATGTGCCCATTGTCTTTTGGGCTATGTACCTTGTCGTCTATCCGCAATAAACATTCATAAAGGGTGGCACTCTTCATTAAATTATGCACATATCCAAAAAGGAATTAATTACTATGCACATATCCAAAAAGGAATTCATGATATCAGAAATAACAATTTTTACTAGTGAAAATGTAATTTTAACATGTAAGAATTAAGTTACAGATATCAAGAAGTATGTGTATTACTAGTTGTAATTTCATTTTTGATATGATAAACGTATTTCTGCGAGTGATGACGTCATTTTTGATATCAAGAATTCGTGTTGGTACTAGTGGAAATGTAATTCCTGATATCAAGAATTAAATTGTTGATATCAAGAATTAAATGGTTGATATCAACCATTTAATTCTTGATATCAACCATTTAATTCTTGATATCAACAATTAATATGTTTAAATGTTAAAAGGGCAACAAAACTATTACAGATATCAAAAATGCATTTCTTACTAATTACAATTCTAAATGCACATATCAACTTTGTATTTCTTACTAGGAGAAATATAATTTTTGATATCAATAATTACATTTTTACTAGTAAAAATGTGAATTCTTGATATCAAGAATCATATCCTGAGAATGAATAAAAGTCAAAACGGCTTGCCATACACGTGAGCTGAATCCTAAGCGGCTATTCACAGCGGGTGCGTTTTTGCATTTAAAAAACAAGACGCGGGAAATGAAATGGGAAATAACTATAAAATATGAAATGGGAAATAATAATAATGCACACCTTACAGCGCACGGACGTTTAAAAGCGTGTTTGACGTGCGAGAACAACATGTTAACAGACATATAATTAAAATTTTGGGATGAGCTGACTTCAGTGAATAGTAATTTTGTCACGCTTTACAAATACTATGGCAACGTCCGCCTCGAGTCCATGACACGAGCACCGCTTTGACTGTACAAAACGCATCCAAAACGAGAGAAAGCGGCAGCCGCACGGTGATTTCACAGCATGCCGTGTCCTGTGTTGCTTTAGAACTGGGATGATTGCGTTGCTCATCTGAAGCGCGTGCGCGCTGGAGGGGCTCATCAAAATAAAGTGTAAACATCATTTAAATCAACAGATCGCATTTAGTTTTGAGTAGTATGCGGTTTCAAAGCATTTTAGATTGTTTCTTTTTATTGTGTACGTTCATGGAGGGAGAGACGGGACATACAGTAGTGTGCACCGGTGGCTCGTCTGCAAAAGATCCAACAAATTAGTTGTTTACAGAGTTTCAATGACGATTACAAAGAACAGATTTCCTCAAATCCAGCACTGGAGGGGTTACTGTCCTGCAGAATTTAGCTCCTCCAACCCTGATAAAAACTCAGCTGCCTGTAGCTTTCTAGTATCTCTGAAAACCTTTACATAAGTTGCATATTTTGGGTTTTTGTTCAATTGTAACCAATTAATTTATTTTCATTATTAAGAGGTTTGCACAAGAGTTAACTAAACTGTGCAAACATTCAACTTTGCTAAAATTAAAATGTCTTGCTTTGGTATACACTGGAAGTGTTCCATTAACTCTGCTAAACTATAATTACTAAAACTAAAACTGAAACTAAAATATATAAAAACTAAATAAAAATGTGTTCACAAAATAAAAACTAAACTAAAACTACCAAAACCATTAATGAAACTAAATAAAACTAAACTGAAATTACAGGAAATTTGAAAACGATATTAAAGGGGTTATATGATGCTTTTTTAAAGATCATTATTTTGTGTATTTGGTGTAACAGAATATGTTGACA